CGGCCACGTAGTACTATTTATGGTTTGTCAGTGATGCAGACCGTAGCAGACAATAGTTTAAATCCAAATACAATTCGCAATGCAACTAAACATCATAATGGCGATAATTCCGAAAACGAGAGCGAGCAACAGAAGAGCAACAATCGTTCCTTGGACAGTGATGTGTATGACACGAACGACATGAACAGTAAGGATGTGGAGTTTGGTAAATCCTATTATGTGAGTAATGTAAGTATTGGACTCTTATTTAATTTATTGTCGTATTTTGCACGAACGAATCAGTTATACATTATTGCAATGAGCACAAATATTCCGCGAATGCGGTCAACTCGTTTCGGGAATGTTTACAGTTGTTGCAGGATGTTGTACGGTTAAATCATAAACATCTTAGAAGTTTGACTTTAGTTATAGTCTTCCCTGTGAATAGTCAAAAACCCACGACCTTATGAATCTCTCGTTAATCACAATTACAAAGCGCGCGCTGTCACACATCTATTATAGAATCTTTGACTTGAGAACGAGATGCACAAAATCAAATGTTGCATTCCCTTGAAAATATTATATTGCGTATTCAAATGTTTTGATTATCCTTGAATTACTATATATATCATCTCTATGTAAACAAACGTCTTCCATGAAACGATATGTAGTTCATAGAGGAAATTCTTTTCCTTTTTTTTCGTTTTTCGTTTTGTTTCTATTTAAATACACTTCAGGATATTTTAAGAAAGATACGTGAATGTGGCTCTTCGGTGACCTACTATGGCGGCCGTGTTGTTCAAAATAATTCAACTGTAAAACCCTTTCAAAGCCATTATAATGAAAACAATGACCAAAGTGCACATAATACAATGGCATCATTGTACGCCAAGCCAAGCCAAACAACAAGGGAGACAGTTAATGTTATTGAAACATGTTCCAGCGTTTACAACTGCGGTAATGAATGCCAACAACATAAGAAGCCAAAACAAAAGAGTGACAATAGGAAAAGTAAAGACGGCTCAAATAAGGAAAACAATGCAGCAAAGGTTACTGAAGGATGCAATGGTAAGTGTTTTATAATAATAAATATATTATATAATGTATATATGTATATATAATTTTTATACATTTTAGTTTTTTTTTTTTTTTTTTTTTTTTTTTTTATCAAAATTATTGAATTTTCAATAGAAGCGATATTTCTATAATTTACTTATTTAAATTGAAATCATTTGTATATACTAGAGATTCAATAACTTTTTAGCCAATCGCTCTTATACATATAATAAATTCGAGTTCAAAATGGATAATCTATCCTTTTCGTTGGTTGATTCTATTTTAGAAGGCATCATGTTCAAACTTGTCAAATCAAACAGTTGCAACAGTCGCTTAGAATTGGCTGGCGCCGAGTATCCCGAGGATACGGAAATTGTAAGACGAATAGTTCATCAATTCGAAACACACAAATTCGTTACTAACGATGATAGCACAACGATTACAAATACAAATAATAGTCAGTTACTGGTGCGTAGCAAATTGATTGTTGATAATGCCGTCGCAACGGAATGCAGTCATTTGCCGCAATCGACGGTAAATAGTGAATTGAATGCGTCCCAGGAAAATGAAAAAAATCACAATAAAATACAAAAACAAACTGAAAATAAACGAAAAGAGCTAACAACAATCCATCAAGGGGAAGGTAAACATATACATATGGAGAACAATGGATCAGATATGGATATGACCATTAAGAATGGCGCAGGTGGAGCAATTGCCGCAAAGGTATGCCGAAATAGAAATGTTGACTTGGCATTTATTTTGGCTAAGCAACAGCCAAAATCTGCTCAGCCGGCGGTAAGTAATGAAATTGACATTACAAATATAGCAGTTAATAATAGAAAAGTGGCGACGGTGACGGAAGCATCTATCCATAATGATAACAATGAGATAAGTGTTAAGAAAATTGTCGCCAGCATGCATGAGTTGAGTTCCGAACGTACAAGCATTGCCAATAATTCGGCTGCAGAGGTGTCACAGACAAAACAATCGACTAAATGCTATACAGCATCGTCACCTGGACAAATATTGGTGCCAGTGGAAATACATCGTGCAAATGATGAAGAAATTCAGTCACGGCTGTTGCGTATTGACAATACATCTGTTTTTACGCATTTTCCGCAACCATTGGCGACAGCAGCAGCTATGACAACTTCCGGAATCGATGATGCCGTTGTTAAATATTATGTGGCGAACGACAAAAGTATCTATGAGAAGCGTCGATACAATGACATTGAGTTTGAAGAATTCGAAGTCTATGATCCGACTAAAAAGAAAGACTTTGATAAACGCATTGTCGAAGAGAAATCTGCAATAAATCAAAACGTAACGGACGATACAAATGTTATTATAAATGCCAAAGAACCAGAAAATCCACAATCAACGGTAGCAAACAATAATAATAATAACTGTATCAGCTTGGACGATAAAACTACTACTCATCAGGAGGGGTACCGTTCGGCCGAAACTGATACAGACTGTTGTTACGATAGTTTAGACGGAAAAATGTAGGGAAAGAAAAATTTGGAAAAAAAAGGGCGACAATAAAGTGGTTAAGTGTCCTTTTTCTTTTAATTTTTCAAAATAAAAAAAAAAAAAAAACAACAAATATTTCCCCCTAAAATATGCATTATTTTTTTGCAATTTTAAATCAATAGCAACAGATATGTATGTGGTGATGGGCTTCATCAAGATTTCATTTTTTCCATTTTTTCTTTCTTTTTTTTTTTTTTTTTTCGTTGATTTTCAAAATTTTAAGTAAAACTTAAAAGCAAATAATTAAAAAAAAAAAAAAAAAAACACGATCCTATGTAAATTAGATATAATGAATTAATTTTTAATGTGCTTTTGCAAAATTGTTTATTTATGAGAAACGTCGAAAGCCTAAATTTAAATTCAATTTATTTCGTATGAAATTCATAAAATATTAGTTTCTATCATTGCCAATGTCTACCTACTTGTCCTGCAGTACTTGATATATAAATATATATAATTGTATCTGTATTGATTTAGAAAATTTCTGTATTTTTCATTTTATTTAATAAAATTTACTCTTATGTGCGATTTTTAAGTAAATTATTGATTGCATTTTTGAAACGTTTTACTACTATTCACTCCATTATAACGATAATTCTCATTCTGCATAAACGATATCGAAAGAGGAAGCTGAATTTGATAACACCGCATCACATTCTCTATTTAACTTGAATTCATTTCAATTGCTAAGCAATACATGATACGCGACGGACAGGTAATGAAACTAGAAGCGGTTTAAAGGCGTGTCTACGATACTCGTCGCTTACTGACGAATGCAAAATAAGTGCAAAGACTAGATAAAGCCTTTCGGATCCGAATTGGATTTTTGCGCTGAACTTTTTATCAAAGTACAGTAGATTAGAAACTTGAAGGCTTTCACTTGCCATAACCTTTAAGTTAAGTACTTTAACGCAATTTCTTGAATTAGGTCTACAACCTTTAGATACAAAAATATGAGCCTGACGGCGTTGAATTGACACACATACACAGCCTTACTGTGCTCAGGGAAGTTTTAATGCATCCGCGATACAATCCGGACTTCGCACCAAGCGATTATCATCTTTTCCTTGCATTGCAAAATTTCTTTAATGATAAAAAATTGGAATCTAGGGAGGATTGTGAAAATCGACTACTAGAGTTTTTTGCAAATAGAGACCAGAGGCATTTTGAAGTTACCTTTAAAATGGCAACAAATCATACAACAAAACGGTGCATATTTGACCCAAATCGGACAATCCGGAGCATGTTAAATAAAGTCCTGAAGTTCATATAAAAATAATGGATTTCTTTTTCCCCAAACTAATATATGCTAGTCCGATTTGCCTGAACGATGGTGCGTGTTTTAGTCCGAAAGTCAATAGTACAATGAGTACAATAAGTACTTGTGTTGAAACACAGAAGCTGATAAAAATATACAATTTTGACAAAATTGAAAGAGGGACGCACGAAGCAAGTTGCTCCTTGGGTTGACATCCGTAACGAATGGACATAAACATAAATTGAAAATTTCGCGGCAGCGCTCTTTCAAAAATTTCAACAAGCGACACATCAGTATGACTCAATAGATTCATGTATCAAAAAATACCATACGAGCTCTCGATCGCCTACCGTTATTGTTATGAGGATGTGACTGCGACTTATGTGAGTAGTAATTATAGCTCGGATGCGTTGAAACAACTTTAGCAAAACAATTTAATTCTGATATGTGAAGACTTGAAAAACTTAGAAATTTAATTCAAAATAGCAACAATCACTTGATGAAAAATGGAGGTCATATATATATATGTATATATATATATATATATATACATATATACATATATATATATATATACAGTTGTTGAATAAAAAAAAAAAAGAAGAAATCGTTCTTTTCGTCATTATGATTGCCGCAGTGGGAATATTTTTTCATGAAATTTGAAATACTTTGTTAACAAAGTCGAAAATGTTATGAAAATCAGTTTAATGTAAGTACAGATATTTTTTCATCGGCTTGACTTGTCATCGAATCAGTTATACATAATATTAAATATTATATCTATTTTTTTATTTTTAAATATATTTTTCAATTTTTTTTTTTTTTTTTTTTATGTAAATAAAGAAAGTATGAATATTTTGGGTAAATGCCAGAGATGACTCTGAACGGATTTTCCCAATTCAAGTTATATCACCCACGAGATTCTACGCTCAGTTAAAATTCTTATGCAAGAACGTGCGAAAGACAAAATACATATCTGTCAAACCGATTTATTCGAAGATGTGGATTATATATGTAATACATTAGAAACATAATAGCGTAGCAGTGACTATACTTTTATGCTCTTCCTCCTCATTTCTATTTTCATATTGAATACTATGGTTAAGTATTAAAAAAAAAAAAAAATTATAAAATTTCAATTGGATTCAAATTGTGATTGATGATAACGTACCTGAGTCTATATTTTCTCTACTTTTTGTGCAATAATTTCGTTGTTCTATTAAATTCCATGAGTTTCTCTGCAATTAAAAAGAATTAGAGAGAATTTTTTTTTTTTTTTTTAAAGAAGCCATACTTTTATTTAATATATATATAGGTAAAAAGAATGCAGAAAACAAAAAAAAAAAAAAAAAAAGAAAAGAAAAGAAAATGGAAGGCTTCAAAAAAAAGTTTCCTATAAAAATTTATAAATAATTCCTTGAAAGTTTTCAGCTTGAATAGTTCTTGTTAGTGTATACTTTATATAAACGTATAAATGTTTACATGCACACATGCCTAAATGCATGTAACATAGAATGCATTGGTAAAGATATTTAAACGAAAATGAAGGGAAGGTAAAATAAAGTAATAATCAAAAGAAGTAAACCTTCTACCAAAAATATTCTGAATTTCTGGCATCTTTAGTTATTTTATATTCTTCCTACATATTATAAAAGCACCTCTTATTCATGTCCAATGACTTGAAAGCACTTCAAAATGTCAATGTAAGAGTTTAATTGTTATAGTATGGTATAGAGATTACCTTGAAAGCGATGAGATCTTTCTTTTCACATTTGTATTCTCAAGAACACACTTAATAATAGAAAAATAAGGTTAGGCTTTGAGAAAACATCTCATTTTCTTCTTTTTCTGCTTTTTTTTTTTTTTTTTTTTGAATATCGAGGAGTTTCCAATAATATCGTAATTGTGCAAAGTATAGGCGAATAGCTGGTGAATTATTTACAATATCTTTGATTATACGGTGATAAATGCAAAAAATTTAAGTATCGAAGATAATTATGAACTATCTTAGCAGAGCGCTGCAAACAATTTTTAAACAATTTTTTCGAATGTAAATAAAAAAAAATCTATTAATGAAAATGAAATTAATGGATTAGAGTGAAATGAAATTTCTTTTCATATCAACTACTGACGTTTAGGGGTACGTTCGTTTTATCCAAATGTTTACAACTACTAAAAATAGCTTCGGATAGTCCGTCACTCATATCTTGATCAGTATTAAATTGTAAATCGGTTTAAGCTTATGTCTCGATGTGTATGGATATGTGCGGTAAACAAAAATTTCTTGCGAGTAAAAAACAAAATATTGCCATAAAGCGACATAGGAATCCATACAGGCATGTCGATTTGATTTTGGGAAACAAACAACAAATCGGTCAAAGGGCATAACAGAACATAGATTAAGAACATCTTTGCTTTCAAAGGCTAACAAGCTGGAATATAACGATATACATTTATACGTCATAGCAATTTCGCTAAAGAGGGGAAAAATCGGGCACGCCCATTAAATATTATTGTGTACCGAAAATGTATTTATTTTATCTTTTCTTTTTTTTTTTTCAAAATATTTGTTGGGTTTACGGACATTCGGTCATAGCCGAATATCGTTTTTTTGCTTGCAAACACGTATGCTGACTAAGCCTCGTATAAAACATTCATGCATTCCTGAACTACAAGAGATACCGATCTAAAGCTAAAAAAAAATTCAATTTATATCAAATACAATTTCTCTTTTGTTCTTCTTTTTTTTTTTTTTTTGTTTATTTATTTGTTCTTTCTAAAGCAATAAAAATCTTCCTTTTAACGGCTTTTCATTAAAAAGATTCTAATGTGTTTGCGATGGTGACGACGGTAAACGGTAATCAATAAAATTTAATTACTGTTCTCACAGTTAGTTGATGCAAACTACACAGCCTAAGACTATGCTATAAGCAACAAAACGATTTCGTAATATTTTTAATTTTTTTAAATGCTCTTGATCTGTCAAGTGAATGAGGTCAGGTCGGTTTTAAATGATTTCGAAAAAATACATCAAATATTAGAAAAACAATTTCTTTTTTTAAATGATAACCGAAAACAGCCTTTTAAAGCTATTTACTAAGCTCTCATATAATAAAGTGAAAACAGCTTTTAATAATTAAAAGTACAACTCGCACTTAACGACATGAACTAAATGAGAAGCATGTTGCACAGCATATATAAATTATATGAATTTTCATCACTTGGTATAAAATATATGCGGAATATTATTATATAAACTAGAATAAAAAAAACAATAAATAAATTAACAAAAAAAAAAAAATATATATATATATATATTTGGAAAAGCAATTAGTTTGTATGTAAACTAGCAGTTAAGGTGTATTTTAATTTTTATATCCCATCTCTCTTAGATGCTAATAGTTTAATTTTCTCATCTTATTCTTAGGAAATAGAGATGCATTTACACGGATATCTATGCACGACTTAATTTCGCCATGTCCGTCCGTTCTGAAATATTTCAAATACAAAAATGATGTACAAGGCTGGAGACTTAAAAAAAAAATGCACTTAAGATAGATCTTTGTTTAAAAGACGGACATGATCGGACATTCATATTAATAATTGCAAACTCGAAGAAATTCTACAAATTTCGATATATTTTTAATAATAAATTACGAAGCAGTGCAGATATTGATTTGAGATTTGGCATCATTTACCAGAGTCATCTCATACATATCAACGCAATTTGGATAATGAAATCAGGAGAGTTGAGAAGGACGAACGTAACTGTGTTATATTTGTTTAAGGTGGTCGTTGTCGAACATTCGCTCCAAAACGAAGCTAACTTTCTGCTGCTGCTTTAATTTTGCTGAAAATAAAGTAATTTTTTATGATAAAAGAGACAAAGAAACTCATCCGTTTAAATTAAGCCAAACGCAATCGTTCAGCAGAACATCAAAATAATAAAAAAAAAAAGTAAAGAAAAACAACTAAAAAAATTATAAACGGGCAGAGTCGAACATTAGAAATCCTAAACCGCTGTGCTTTCTCCGTTTATTTCCTTTATAGAATACTAAACATTACGCTTTATTTCGATCTGAAAGCATAGTCCTTGGGGGAGCCGTTACAAGAAAGGGGGCTCAGAGCATAAAGTCACGTGGTGTAAACTTTAGCAAAATTAATGTTCTCGCCAAGGATCTTGCCTACTGTTGCCATAAAAGATTACAAATTAAACTTTTTTTGCCGTTCAACAGTTTATACTATCCATGGCAGAGCCTTTATAATGGTTGGTCTGCAGAAATAAACGTAAACATGAACCGACTCTCACAATGAACAATTAAAAATTGAATCGGTTTGCCATGTAAATGCTTAACTTGCAAAGGAACGTTTACATGGGCGGGAGTTAATAACATGGATCCTTTCACATCGGTTTACTTTGTCAAAATGCTGTTATACAGGGATTCTGATTTATGAGTTGTAAGGGGGTAGTGGTCAAAAAAATAATTCAATCTAATATATTTTCAATAGGACATGTTCCTGGGCCGATGTTTATGAGTTGAACATAAGTTGAGCAAAAAAGTACGTGAATACATGTCAGACGGATAGACGAGCTTAAATCGATTCAGACACATGTGCATTACACAGATTTGCACAAATTAAATATTCCCTATATCGCAAGTGATATAAGGCATAATGAGCCAAGAAGAGAGAGAGAGAAAGAGGGAGAGAAAAGACTTTTGACTTAATGCCAAGCAAATCGTTAACTAAAACGGATATATATCATTTGGTATATGATATAACGCCACAACAACAATTACAACAAATAAATGTTAATAAATAAAAAAAAAAAAGAAAAAAGAAAAAAGAAAAATACCACAAAATCTTTGAAAAGAATTTTCATATAAAACAACGCTATATTAATATTTGTGATGTTCTTGCTCAACTTGGCGATTCGTTTTGTGCCAATGTTTTTTTTAGAATTTTGATTTAAATTCTAAAAAAGAAAACAAACAAAAAAAGACAAAAAAAAAAAAAAAAAGGTGGGTTTCGTGCGAATATTTTTCTTTGGGTCTAAAACAAAGTTTTTCCCCACAACAAAATGAAAAACCAAACCAAAAAAATACTTATGAGATTTAAGAAATCAAAGGTAAGTTGTTCGGAATACAAGAAACGGCGTATATACAGATGCATATATATGTATGTATTTTTATATAAACATATGCGGGCAGAAATATAAGTTTGATTTCTATTTTGCAGTTCGATGCGATAAAAATTGCAAAAGATATCGTGCGCCAAGCTCATGCAACGTTTTTCAAAACTCTTTCAAATTACTTCCCGGAATCTCTCGTGAGGTAGTTCTTGCGGTAAAAAGTTGAGGGCTTTTGCGTTGCGTTAGTCGTCTTTTCAGCTGTTCATTGAAATGGGTTCGTCCTCTTCATAGATGTAAAAAATGAAACGTTTTCTAATATTTTGCAGGGAAAGTGCATTGTAAAGGTAAATCGTATCTCTTGAGAACGAAATGCAATGTGAACTAAAGTTTATAAAAATATTAAATAGGTCGAGCACATCATTGTAGCCAAGCAGGAGGATGGCTAGGTCATCAACTTTGAAATCAGGGAAAAATTTGGAAAATTATTGCCCATTATTAGGTCGGTCACGAAAGCACCCAAAGAAAGTGTTGAGCCGCGCAGAGTAGTTAAATAGCTTTTCGTGCTTCCGATAATCGTATTATAATTTTAGCAAAACGTCATCTCTTCAAGTCGTCTAGAGCAATTTCCAATGAAATTGGGAATGTGGTATAAGACGATTTGTATCGCAAGCGAAGGAGAATTCTCTCACTTAGTTTAACGCAAATACATAACATAAAGCTATACATGTAAGTAAGGAGTAAGTTGTAAAGTAAAATGTTAAGCACAATACGATAATCGCTGAATACAATAATAATTGATGATATTACGAAATATCGGCATTTTATCAAACTAAAGAAAGGCGAGCAGCCTAAGATGTCCTAGAATGCGTTATAAAGCGAACAATCTTGCATCTCTATCCCAGAAAAAGGGGGAAAAAAGCAAAAAATTTCTAATTTTATTTTTTAACTTTGTAGCTTCAATGGAACGTGTTTACACGGCTTAACGTTTTTCTATTCATTCTTTGATGCGTTTTTCCATTCTTTAAGGATAGAGAGAAAAAAAATATACAACAAAATTATTATGAAGAATAAAACTTTGGTGCATATGTTTGTACGTAGCTGCAATAA